CCCTTTGTGTGACAACATCAAAACCATTTATACAGTGGTAATTTTTAAAAAAATGTTTACAAACAAACTATACCTACTAATTTCAGTTAAAAATCTTAAAAAAGACTAAATTTCTTAATTTCCCCATTGAAAAGTTAACAAGAGTAACCTTTGCAGCGAAACAAAAAAATTTTAAACAACCTTTTGCTTCTTCTCTTCATTGAGTTCTCCCTTCGAAACGGTAAATATGTATGTAGTTCACTACATACCCCCCTGCAGCGCCTAGCGGTCTCGAATACATACGGGGGGACTGGGAAACCTTTCGATGCCCTGGGGGACCGTACTAATCATCAGTTGTCCGTAGGTCACCAATCTGGACCGCCAGCACCGCTGCCGCCCTAAGGCCGAGATTGCTTCCGAGGACCGCCCGCAAGCTTTACCGAGGACTGCTATTTGTACTCGCTGTCATCCAGGGCCGCTGCAATAATCATCCCCACCGCCCACCAGGGTCCGCTGCTACCACCGGAATTATCGTCGCCCCAGGCCGCCGTTACTACCCGTCACGACCGTCCGTCTGCCCGTCTGCCCGTTCGTCCGTGTACACGATAACTCGAGCAAAAATTGAGATATCTCAACGAAATTTGATATGTTTCCATTTATCCAAGGTAGGTTGGTATTGAAAATGGGCGATATCGGACCGTAAACACGCCCACTTCCCATGTAACGGTAATTTCCAGAAATACGGAAACTACGATATTTTAGTAACTACTAAAGATAATTCACTCAAAATTGATATTTACAATAAGTTTTAGACGAAAAATAAGAATATTTTAAATTTTTAGAAAATTGGCGTAGCATTAGCACGGTAAACTGTTCTGTTAAGCCCAACGCAAAAGACTTCAGAATTGCGGACATTTATGCTGATAAATGTACGCTGCCGAACTATCCTTTATTAAATGGCGTTTCCAGATTGTGTCAAATGCACATGCAAATTGACAATAAGCAATAAAACAATAATTTAAGAGAAACAAAAACTATCGATAGTATTGAAATCTATCGATGGTGGTACGATAGTCAATAGTTTCAGACCAATACAGGCAGGTTAATATGGAGGCTAAAATGTTCTACAAAAATGTGAAGCGGGAAATTTTAATAAGGGCAGGTTCTGCAATTCACTTCCGAGGAAATATCAACGCCTACCAATTTGAAGTCGAAAGCGAGTCTTTATTGAAATTCACTCGGAGTGAATTGCAGAACCTGCCTGATAATGTGATAATTTATTTTGCCTTCATAAAATGCAGTGGTAAATTCTTAAGATAACTTACTTGGTTGATCAATCTCGCAAATTGCCATCAAGTCAGCGTAAGAAAGGTTGTCGCCAATAACGAATTTGTTCTTGTTTAAAAATAAGATTTTCAAAATCTTTAAAAGATTGATTTAAACGTTCTGTTAGAAGACTGGCCTATGATAAAAATAAATAAATTAATTAATAGAGTAGAAAACACCGTGAAAAAAATCTGCATATCGTTGTCATTATTACAAAATACCCTAAGTGACTTTTTGGATTTTTTTCCAGTAGGCAATTCTGTGATTGCTTCTAATTAAATGCTTGGAAACAGACCTTTCTCAAAAACACTTCTTTTTTGAATGCTGCATTAAACTATGTTCCCATTAGCGTAATTTAGAGGTCAATCTTAATTTACGCATAAATTAAGTACAAACTAAGTAATTTCGCCTTGTAATGTCTCTCAGTAAATTAAGTTGAAAGTACGTAGTTTATCTTAAACCAAGAACCAAATCACGAACAAATCAGTATCGGCTCTAATTTTATCGATAATAATCGAAAAAAGAATTGTCCCATAACTGATATGTCATTGTGTTTGGACGTTTTTGTTTTTAATAATCGCGCGTGGTAGTTTGTAAAATATTTCCAGAAGCTTTCTCTTTTGATCACTCATCTAAAATCTAAAAAATTACCACAAACAACTCAGAATATAAAAATATACGCAATTACTCACATTCGCGATCTCTTTTGGTTAAATAAACAATAACACAGGGTTGCTACAAAGCTGTCAAGACAAATAAAGAATTGCATGTATGAACGCACTTAATTTACTGAGTTATTTTAAACGAAACTAAGTATTTTATGTTGGTAATGTGAACATAGTTTTAGAAGACATTCGTCGTGCCAGAGCGCATTCGTATAAGGTTTCACAGGGATTCCGAAGCCGAAAGTCTGTAAAACTCTTACCATTCAGGAGAAGAAAATGTAGTTAAGACATGGATCTCGAAAGTGCTTTCACCTAAAAAATCCGAATTAGTTTACCGACTGGTTTTATATGAAAATGTTTAGTATCTTCCAAATAAAAATAATAGTTTTCGCGTTTTTTGAGATATCGTCTTCAACTATTTTGGGTAGTTGACTCTTATTTAAGGTCTGCTTCTCAGTGAAGTTATGCACCAATGCTCGTAATTAGGATTTGAAAGCTTACTGCCAAGTGGGAGTTAATTCATACTGTGAAATCGTTCCAAAGCGAACTAATACCAAATAAAAAAGTTTCCTTCAAGAAGAATTACTTAAGGCCTTTCGAAATGATGAATATACATGTATGTATGTATGTATACCTACATTCGTTTCTTCAGTAGATGTCTTGCCCAGAATAGGCAAAAGCCATTTTTGTTTGAAGTAATTGCTGCATGCCAATCCCATATTTCGCTGCTGCCATTCAAGGAACTCATCAACTCGACTGCGTCCAAAGTTGCGGCGTGGATACCAGTGTTCCGGCACAATTTTCTCTCGGTTTAGGTGTCGAAAAATAGCGACACTTTCGGCCAATAAGAAACTGTCATCTTGAATGACCGGCAAGCGCTTGAAATGACTCACTTTATCACGATATTCGCCAGTTAAATGCTCACCTGTGAGAAATAATAGTAGGATGTACATTAGTTTATCATCTTTGTATACCATACATATGTATGAATATGTTATTTTTTTTGCTATATTATACTTTTTATTTGGATTCCAAAAGTGATACTGCTGCTTTTTCAAAAATACTGCATTTATACGAAAAAATATTTTGTTCCTACCTAAATTTTTATATGCACAAAAGTAGTATAAATTTGATCCGATAGGTGCCGATTTGGTTCATATTTAGGACGTACATTAACTACGTGAAAAGGAATAACTCCTCTAAAAATTTTGCCGATAGGTGGCGCACGAGTCGATATATTTTTTAAACCGGTATTTATGGTCCCATTTCGTTCATATTTAAAAAGCTTGCTTTAACAATATTTGTTTTTACTATTAACTTATTTACCAGTTTTGAAAATTTTTCTTTTGCTTGTATAATGTTCATTAATTTTTATTTATGGCTTTCCAATTATACAATACTTAAACACCATATAAATCCACATTTCAAATCTTGTAAAAAAAGTCAAACAAATTTCTCAACAAACTTTTTATTCATAATTTTTAGAAAAGTTCTTAGTATGCAGTTTTGTAGATCATTCAATTCTATAAAGTGTGCGGTTCAAGCGGCTAAGAATTTGCGTTAATTTGTTTTACAATTTTTGTACAAAGCTAGAAATTTTGATTCAAAAAGCTTTTATCATTTTGTCGCGGTATGTACAAAAAAAATTTGCATCGATAAGTTGTGACAGAAGCGTCGCCTGTGTGCATTCTTTCATACACATTTAAATGCTGCTCTGCGACCACCAACCTCAAATTAAAAAAAAAGCTTAAAATCGCCAACCTGAGAAATTACTTTTCTATATACAATCCAGACTTTTAGAAAAACTTGGCTTCATCAATTCCCCAGCGGACTACCGAACAGTGCAATTCAATCAGTTAATAATTATTATATTATTTCCGTGTACTTAATATTTCTGAAAATTTATTGTTCTTAAAAAGCCTTAAAAGGAAGCGATGTTAACTTAATGGTACTTTCATATCCTTTTCCGCACTATTTTTGCGGTCCATTTGGCACAATTTGAAATTTTGAAATTCCATCCCTGGCTGATATAGACATAGCCTAACAAACATTTAGGTTTGAGCTCAACCTGAGGTTAAGTTGAGAACTAAGGTATTTCTCAAATCTCNCTTCTTAATATTGCATACAAGGTCCTGTCGACGATACTGTGTGAAAGACTGAAGCCGTTCACGAACCAGCTGATTGGACCTTATCAGTGTGGCTTCAGACCTGGTAAGTCCACCATTGACCAGATTTTCACAGCACGTCAAATCCTGGAGAAGACACTACATAAGCAAATCGACACACACCATCTTTTTGTCTATTTGAAAGCTGCTTTTGATAACACGAAGAGGAGCTGCCCGTAAAACTAACACGGCTATGTGGAGTGACGTTGAGCACAACCTTCAGCTCCGTTCAAATTGGGAAGGACCACTCCGCGCGGTTTGAGACCAAACGAGGTATAAGACAAGGCGGTTCAATCTGAAGCTGGATAGCGTAATAAGAGCTACCAATCTGAATCGCAGCGGCACCATACATAGAACGATGCTGCTGGCGTATGCAGATGATATCGTTATCGTAGGTCTGAAACAAAAGGGACGTAACCGCAGCATTTTCCAGTTTAAAAAAAGAAGCTAAATAGCGGTGAGCGAGGGCAAGGCAAAGTACCTCCTGGCAACATATAAGGAGTCCACGCGTTTCGGGACACACGTCACTGTTGGCAGATATAACTTTGAAGTAGTGAAGGACTTTGTCTACCTAGGATCCAGCATAAACACCACCAACAACGTTAGCCAGGAGGTCAAGCGAAGAATAACTCTTGAATAATGTGCCACTTTGGGCTCAGTAGGCAATTGGAAAGTCGGGCCCTCTCTCGGCGAACCAAAATCACGCTCTACAAATCTCTCATCATGCCCGTCCTTTATATGGCGCAGAAACTTGGACGATGTTGAACAAAGATGAGAAGGCTTTGGGGGCTTTCGAGAGATCTATTCTAGGCAAGACCTACGGCCCTATTTTCGTGGACGACGGGTATCGGTGAAGATGGAATGACGAACTGTATGAGTTTTTTAACGACATGGACATAGTTAAGCGCATAAAAATACAGCGATTGCGCTGGCTTGGAGATGTTGTACGCGTGGATGACGACGCTCCGGTGAAAAGATCCTTCGACTTCGCTCCCATGGGTGGACAGCAAAAGTAAGGGCGCCCACGAACGCAACGGAAGGACCAAGTGCAGAAGGACCTGTCTGCGCTCGGGATAACCAACTGGCGCAAATTCGCACAGAAGAGAAGCAGTGGGAAAAGCTTTATGGTCTCCGCCCAAACCGGTTGTAGTGTCAAATAAGAAGAAGATGAGTATCGATTTTGTTATCGATATCTTTAGCGATTTCGTTATCAGTATTGTTATCAATAATTTTATCGGTGTTGATGTCGATATTTTTATCGATGTTACTATCGATTTTGTTATCGATACGAGGATACTGATAAATGGAAAGAGGAAGAAAGATCAAATAAAGGTAATTATAAAGAAGTATATATGTATGTATGTACTAGGAATGTTAATCCCGGGATCCCGCC